TATAAACAGGCATTACGAAATGTTTAAATTGCACTTGAAGTGTAACAATTTGAATAAGTGAATCCGAACTAAAATAAATAGACCACACTCGTGGAATAAACAAATAAAAATAATAACATTCGCGGAATAAAAGTGCCCTTTCTCACTTTTAGTGCAAATATTGGAAATAAATGTAAATTTTGTTTTCGACGCATTGCAGGCGTTTATTTATTTTTCAAGTTTTTCTAATGTTTAGTGCCATTTGCATTTCTGATAGAAAAGACTAGGACATCTTTTTTTAACATTGCCTTCCATGCTAAAAATATCGAGTTCTTTTATGAAATTTAAGTTCGTAGAGAGTGAAGGAAGAGTGGTAGGAGTCTTTCTAATTCCTTTCCGTAGTCACTTTACTTGCCTACTGGGATAATCGTCATGGAGTTTAAAATTGGGTTTGAAAGAGTTTTTGTCGCAAATAGAAAATTATCTATTAACATGAAAGATAATTTTTAAAGAGGTACGTAAGAGTAATCAAAACAACCATGAGAATAATTTATTTCAAGGATACTCTGGAAGCCAAGTTCAACTGACTGAATTTCCAGCAATGTAATTCTAGAAGTCTGCACACTTAATTATTTGAACGCAATTATCTATGCATCAAAATTATTTTACCTCTCCAGAGAAATAATATCTAATCGTCCCGAATGCTTGAGATTTCGTATTTTACCTCTTCAACTTTCTTTAAAATTTCTTTGTCAATCAAAGCTTTTTTAAGCAATATAACTTTTGATTTCTATCTGATTAAATTAAAGTTTTTTCTTTAAAAAAAAAATTATAAATAATAAAATTAAGGGCAAGAAACGTTACTCGGTCACAACAATAACAAAAATCAGCAGTAATACTCACATTAAAAAAAATATTATAAACAAGAATATAATTGAGATACCCATATAAAAACAATGAACTCTGGAAAGGTGAGCTTTTAAAAGTTTCTAATTTGAAATGGAAAGTCAGAACTCTGATCAAAAATAGAACGTATATTTTCTGATAAAGCCAATAAATTTTTTAATTCAAAAACCTTTCAAAACATTACGAAACAATTTGCCTTTTAAATTCATTTTTTTTTCAAATAGAGCATAATATCCAGCTCTCAAGGAAAACAAAAACTTTTATAAAAAAAAAAAACAAAGAAATTAAAACTAAATTTACTTTTATCCAAATTTGCAGCTCTCAAGAAAAAAATGCCATATATTTATGTACATATATATTTTTTCAAGAAAATGTAAATCAAAGACCTTTTTCAAACGACAGGAAAAAAAATGTATACCAAGGATAAAGCAGTAACAATAGAAATAAAATTCATGAAAAATACAAAATTTAAAAACTTTTTTAAAACACAACTTATGGGCGCTGTGTCCGCCTAAGCGAATTTGAACAAAAAATATAGAAATTTCAAACACGAATTCAAAATTTTTAAAAAAATTTTGCCAAAAAAATTTATTCAAACTTGAAAATTAACTGTCCTAAGTTAACGTTAAATACATTTTCCAAGAAAAAAATTTGTGCTTGAAGGGGAGGTACGTATGTATATATATATTTAAAATAAAAAAAAAAAACAGTTTTATTGTAATCAGTACATTAATATAAACAATGCTAAAAAAATCTTTAATCTTAAAAATGGTCCAAATTTTCGAAAAATGTTTTGAATACAAGTAATTTAAAAGTGCAAAAAATAATCTATGAAGTCATTTTCTAATAGCCGGTTTCACCAGCAATTTAAATGGAAAATTATTTGTTCTTCTCTGTCAATTTCCATATAAACCTAAAAACATTAAAATCATTTTTCACTTAAATTCCTTTCGCGAAATTGGCTGTAAGTCCCAATATTTGTAACAAATAATTTTTAAGCAAAAAGCAAAGCCAACTTTAAATCTCATATAAAACTTTAAGTGTATCGTTAATTTCTTCATAATTCAATGATCGTATTTAAACCAACTAAATATGGGACTACCTTTCTTCCAAAAAAATAATCATAGAAATCGGTTAACGTGGTCGAAAGTTATGCAGTAACATAAATAAAAAAAAAATTTTCGACAAATTGATAACCTTAAGAAACGATATTTTTAAAACGATTTGAAAATATGTTCGTATTTTTCAAAAAAAATGTCAGCGTAAAAAATTTTGTGTAATCACCGATCCGATCATTGGATCATCATGAAAATAACGGTACGACTGAATTTGTATATTAGAATTGAAGTCGGCTTTGTTTCTTGCTTAAAAATTACTTATTTAGAAGCAACTTCAAAACTCTATGTATGAAAATCCAAAAAATTAAAAATCAAAGCCTTTTAAGGATAGAACTATGAGCCTGACTTGCGTTCTATTGAGTCGAGAAAGCAAAAAATATTTTTTTACAAGCTTTTATTAAGTTTCAACTGTGTGTAATTAAATCTTGAATTCAATCTTTACCAACTTCCCGATGAGCTAGAAACCGGAAGCTGCCAATTTAGCTCAGAACCCGATGACAATGCAATGTGAAAGATAAATAAATCCCCTAGGTGGCGCAGGTGTCAATATATTTGGAAAGCCCATATTTGTGGTCTGGTTTGATTCATATTTGGAACGTATATTACTTATATAACCTGCTGTCTCCATTAGCGTACAGCCATCGCATAATATCTGTCAGTTCCATCGCAAGCGAAATGCTCATTGATCAATTTTGATAGATCGCAAGCGATATCTGCTGCTATCTATCTCCTGCGATTGCGATTGCAATGAGCGGTCTCCACAAACGATTCCTCGCCGGATATCTATCGCAGCAGATGAACAATCGCTAATGGAGACAGCATGTTAAATAGAATAATTTCACAAAAGAAATTGCCGGATAGGCGGCGCAAGTGTCGAGATATTTGAAAAACCCATATTTGTGGTCCGATATGGTTCATATTTGGAATGTATGTATATTACTTGAATGGAAAAAGTAACAGTATAGAAAGTTTTGCTAGGTCGTTTTTTTTTTCTTTTTTTAACCCTTAATTACGCGCATGGGGTCAAGGCCATTTCAAGTTGAAAAAAGAATTATTGGAGTGATTGGAGCGCTTTGGGCGTTTACACTTGTGTCTCTTACCACTTATGTAACATTTTTTGGCTTAGGTAAGTTTTTATTTTTGTATCTACGTTTGAAGCCAAAGTTATGCTTTTCTTGCTTAAAGTTAACTACGATAAAGAGCCTTAATATTTATGACAAAACACATTTCGTTTTATTTATTTAGTCGCGGCTAGAACATCGTCGCGTACACATGTGTCGCTACTCTCTTGGGTACTGACGCCATGCGATCACTAACGTACCTAAATTTTTTTGTCGGAGCTAAGTTTTTAATTTTTTTTTTTTAAGTTTTAAGTCGAAATTATGTTTTTGTTTTTTTTTTTAAGTTAACGATAATAGAGTACTTTAACATTTTTGATAATACAGAATTTGTCTTTTTTTTTATAAAACTCCTTTTTCAACACTTTTATTGGGGTCACTCGGGACTCCATGCGACTAATTGTGTGATTTTCTTTATGCGCCTAATTAAGCTTGTTTTAAGATTTTTTTCATTACTTGTTTCTATTCAATATTTTTCAATATTTCGTAACTACAAAAAATTTTCCACATTCAAAGACTTTTGGCAAATTTTGTCGTTTAATTTGCAAACAGAATTACTTTGCTTGAATACTTTTTCAATCATTTGTTAAAAAAAAACAACTCAAAAATTTCGAAAAAATTATGTTGAATGCCAAGGGTTAAGTAGCAATGGGTTCTTGAGCCAATTCTTTATGTATCCTGTCAGCGTTATGTATTTGATAATAGAAATCTAATATAACGTGTCTAACTAAGTCCATTGATTAATTAAATCATTGTGGGAGCATTGAACCATGGTCCAGATAGCGCAGTATGCATATGTATACCCGCTCGATTCATTTATATCTTCAATATATACGAATCTACATAAATACTTATGATAGTTTATTACGAAGTCTCCATTATAAGTTTTCTGTTGCCGCAAGCCAATAACCATGGCGTATGAGTTATCTATCAACATTTACATTTAGTTCATTTTATTAATAGTGAAGGCGGTGTTACACAATTGGTACATTTCTCCTGATTTCTAAAATTTTTATTTTGGACTTTTGGTACAGATATAAAAAATTTGGGAAACCATTTTTTATGTGCAGTCATACAATTTGTACAATAGTAGGATCACACTTCCGAATCTTTTTCGCGACCAATTCTATTGTAATGTAAAATGTTCCGAAACAGTAGAGCTTCACATGAAGTTTCTCAGCCGCTCAACACTTTTCTAACAGATTTTCTCATCTCATCTCATTAGATTCCAATATGGTTATATTTTAATTATAATATATATTCCAATCATTTTAATTTTTAGCATCAACCCTGTGCACAAATATCTGCGGGTTGAGGCTTCTTCAAATCCCTATCGTTTGATACCCATATAATAATATTATACTCACCCTACATACATGTATGTACTTACAAGTACTTATGTAACAAATTTTTTTTTACCTGATATTTTGATATTGAAAATATACATATTTTTTTTCTAAGGGCCTTTGAGAACTTGAATCACGCCAATCTCAGCGCCACCTGCTGTGCCCAATTGTAAACCTAAACCATACAGGGGCCCATTAAAATAAGCCCAAAATATTTTGTCCAGTACTATTTAGTATACAATGTACAGAAAAATCAATGAAATCGTTAAATTGTGATTTATCAGTTTGGTTCATTTTTTGACAAAAAAAAAGTTTCTATATTTCTTTATTTTTGCAAAAAACCTACCACAGAGTAATACAAAAATGTAGTTTTCACAGAATTGAAATCGGTTTAGCCATTTGGTCAGGTATTGCCATCAGACGCAAGCAATTTTTCGTTTTCCGAGTATTAGACCTTACTAACGTATTTCTTTCATTGGTTTTAAAATGCATTGATTGACAAATTTTTCGAATAATTAATTAAAACTACTCACCTTTTAGGTTTTCTTCTTTGCCTATATCTCTTCACAACTGCTCGTATGCCTTACAATTCGTCAATAATTTTTACGCTTATACATATTGCACTATTATCGATAAACGCACATTGTTTTCTTATTTTTTTCACTGCACTCAATTCACTTTTCCAGCAAAAATGCAGCTTTTTAAAAATTTCGCAGGCTCTATGCACCTAAGCCACAAATTTACAAATATATTTTTTTTTTACATTAATTTTCCCTCGCGCGATTGCTTTTTATGTTCAATTAAGTAATTGATTTATTGCATAAACCAGATACGTAATACACTTCTACTTAAGATGAGTAGTTATCGCGCTGCTTTTTAGTTACTACTTTGGTGATATTTCACGCGGTTTTTTGTAGTCTACTTGATTTTTGCTCAGTTTTCATGGAATAGGGTATTTCTGCGGAATTTTTAGTCGTCACCATGCAAAGAATACTTTTATTCTTTTGAGTATTAATTAAAAAAAAAAAATTTAATACATTCTTGTTGAATGCAGCATTTTTTTACAGTTTGATTTTACTTGCATTGTTCAAAAAATTATAGACAGCAGTTCTATGCTTCTGATACAAAATTGTCTTTAAAGACACATACTTTTTTGTGTTTTACTTCCCACTTACTCCTTTTATTTCCACTCGTAACTTATTCGCAACTAGAGTTGTGTATTACTCATACGCCGTGTACACCTTGGCGCGCTCGAAATTATTATTAAAAGCTTTTATTTGCAATATTCTGTTGCTTTGCTCTTGCCGCTTTTGTTGCTGTTTTATAACATTCGCAGTCACGTGTCTACTTTTGTCTGCCTGCTTGGCTAGTTGGCTGGCTGGCTGGCTGGCTGGTTATTTATTTCAACGACGGCATTCTTAGAGTTCGCCGCATGAGTATTGCTTTGTAGAAAATTCTTAATTCGCTTTCTCCAAAAGGACAATGCCGTATGCTGTTAAGTGTGCGCGTCACTTGTGATTTTCTAAATCAACAGCTTTTTGTCTTCGCCGTGTTTTTACATTAAAATCTCCTTTATGCTTGGCTACTGCCTCAGTTTTACGTTTTTATTCGCTGCGACGAGTTCATGTACAAATAGCGTCGGCAAAATTAGATTTATTTTATAAAAAATTTATGACTTTATTTTACGTTTCGGTTAAAGTATGGCTTAGAGTATGCAACGTTAAGTACTGATAAATTTAATTTGCTATTGTATATTTTTTTATGGATTTAAAATTTTTTTTTTTTGGTTTCCGCAACTCAGCCACAATTTACACAGTCTGTATTTATATGCCTATATGTGTGTCTGTTTTTGTGTGCTAGCGTACTGTTCACAACCGTTCAACTTTAAGCGAGCGAGATTTTCTCTCAGTGTATTTTTGTATTGTATATTTATTAGAAAAATGATTATTTTGATTTGATTAGCAAATGATATGGTTGCATATGCCTTAAGTGCACAAAATACACAAATTAATTTTACAAGAGTGTTGTATGTTTTTAGGCGCTAGATTTTAATTTTCATTATTGAATTTAATACTTAATTTAATGTGTGTTTGTATAGTTGATGAAGCTGCTTAATTTAGTAAAGTATTCTTAGTTACATTTATTGTTTAGAGTTTTACGTTTTTGAGCTCAAAACTTTAAAATTTCTTCGTAGTATACCTGTAGGCTGAGCGGAAAAGATCTTTTAAGGTTTTAATCGGTGAGCTTAAATGCAACCAAGAAATATCTACCTTTTTAGAGTTGCATTTTTAGTTTAGTTTTTAGCAAAAATATCAGTATCAACTGCCAAATGCAGTGCGCAGTGTGCAGAATATATTCAAGTAAAGGTTTTTATGCGCACAATTTTCGGTTTATAATTTTATTTTTGTTACTTTTTATAACTAGGTTTTATTCGAAACAGCCAAAAAGTAGGCAACGCACTGTTCAGGCTTTTGGTAAAGCTACTTTAAGGTCCAACCACATAGTGCAATAACATTCTTGCTTCTTTGTAAAATCTGCCTAATCGCAGATCAGAGATCAGTTGTAGCGCCTAAAATTATGCTTTGGAATTTGGGCAAGCCTCCTTTGCGCGTATAAGCATTAAAAATGTTCACAGCTTTTTTCTATATATTTGAAGTTTTTATTTTGCATCACTCGGTATTATAAATATATACTATAAGTATTTACGCCTCAAAGTATGCACTATTTTTTACCGTTGAAAATTTAACACCACAAATGCACTTTTAAATATGCAATGTTTTTGCTGTTCTTACTTTAATTCACTGTGCAAAATCTGTTGTAAATCTTTTTTTTTTATTTTGTATTTAAGCGCGTTATGGCTTATTTCCAGGCAATGCAAAAGCTGCGCCAGTTATTGTCCAACATAATTTTTCTTGTAGCGATATTTTTGAAGTTTGCACGTCCAGATAAAATATGTATTTTTTGTTGCCGAGCTCATAAAAGTAAGCTTAGATTTGAAAAAAGCTTTTTATATTTTCTTAATTTTTTGAAAATTGCTGCCGGTTCCAAAATATTTTATTAACTCACTAAGGAATTTGTTTTGACAGGCTTGCTCGAGCTGTACAAAAGAATGCAACGTAATTTCAGTTTCAACGTAAGTCACTAAATTTTTAAGCGTACGAAAGTATGCAATAGTTTTTGAATATAGCAGCTTGCAGCGATCTCTCTTTGCGCGATCAAAAGTTCTTCCAAAATAATTGTATGTAGTTTTTTGCAACCAAATGTGTGCAATAGTTTTTATATCAAAAATTTATTTAATTGTCGAAATTAGTACACTCCTCTTTAGATATCCAGACTTTGCAGTAAATTTTCGCGTAAAAAATATGCTGCGCTTTTCAAATAATATTTACATTCAAACGCCACTTCAGTTTTATTTACAACAGCAGATCACGCCTACCGCATGTTAACATTATCTTCCACGCAAACTTTAACGTTGGGCTAGGTCCGGATTGCGCAGCAAAATTTTTGAATACACCGGCTTTCAGCAAAATTTTTTATTTTTTTTTAGAAAAATTCTTAAAATATTTTATTTCAGTTACTTTTTTACTCTAAAGATCGCATATATTTAGTATTGCAATTTCCATTGACAATTGCACTTTATCACTAACACGCTTGCAATCGCTGCCGCCGCTGCTACTCTCGACTGCAACAGGAAAGTGTCATCCTTTCGTAACCGTAATTCGCGTTAAACTGATCCTTTCAATTCCGAAAATTCGCAATGGCTTTTTCCTTTGGCTTCAACATCGTCGGCCAATGCCAAGCATCCAACCAAACAACCAAGCATCCAGCCAGCCAGCCATCTAGACGAGTCGTGCAGGCCGTGTCGTGTCGCACCACACCGCACCACACCATCGCACCGCCGCAACGCCGCAACGCCAGCAAGCTATGCCGGCTTAGGTTGTTCGGGCCGCTAGTGAGGTGCTTTGCCGCGCTGTGTTGTGTTGCCGCTAAGCTGCTGCTGTGTGCATCGGTTGAACGAACCTCTCGAACGAGCTGGCCGTTGCAGCCGCTCCCTTCTCCGCTGCCGCTACCATTGCCATGAAGCACCAGACACGAAGCGTCCTCTAGACAATGCCTACGAACTATTCAGTCGGCATACACGACTATGGTAGCAACAAATATGCCACAAATTGCAACAATACTAATATGTTGTAATAATAACAATGGCCAAGAGCGTTGCAACAATGGTTGGAAAGAGCCTCGGCCCCGATTTTGGCCAAGTAGCTTTGTTGCCAACAAAAAAAAAAAACGAAACACAAACAATAAGGTAACAGTGCAACAACGTTGCGAACGAACGACATAAACGAATACGAGAAAGGAGTTAAAAGTAGCAAAACAAAAACAAAATGGTAATGCTGTGTAAACGAAAATACAACAACAGTAACAATAACAGTTGTGTAGCAAGCGAATATGCGATGTTGCATTCCATTTGGCATAGGTCTGAAGTGTTTTGCAATTGGTATCGTTTCGTATGTTTGCCTGTTGCATCCAACTCGGATGCAGTTGGGTATGAAATAAAGTGATGAAGTTGCAGAAAATAATAGCATTTTTAAAACAAATTTTTGGGAATTAAAAGAAACTTATGCAAAATATGGTGGGCATTATACTAGTGTCGACAAAATCTATGTACACTCAAGTGCATAAACAAAACTAGCAGATTTTGTAATACAAAATTCATCCAAAAAGTATGCAACGTTTTGTGTGATAACTCCTAAATAGAGTCCTAAAAAATTTGGAGTCCAAAAGTATGCATATAGTTTAAAAATACTGCGTCCAGATGAAGCTTTAAACATTTTTTTTTTAATAGGAATATTGTACATAGTGAAAATTAGCTTCTTGTCTACAAACTCTAAAATCGTTTTTTTTTTTCTGATTTCTTGCTAACTCTTAATTTTTCCTGATTATTTCGTTTAATCCATTTTAAAGTTTTTATGCGCCTTAATGTATGCAACTATATTTTTTTGCACGTGTATAGCAACAGCTGCTCCGATTGCAACCCATCGAACATGTTGTATTTGTCTTGCTTCAAACTTCGCCGCTTTGAACACTCAATTTGTGTTATTACAAAAATCAACAAGTTTGCTTGTGGCGAATTGAGAGCAAATTGTAATTCAAAGTGAATACATATAAGGCACTCCAAGTCGTTGTTACCCCGCAAAAAGCCAAACAGGTATTGAAAATCAAATTCTTAATTTTAATTTTAGAAATTCAATCATCATATCTTTTCTTGGAAAATAGTACTACATATCTAAAACTCACCATAAGGCTATTGTATTATTATTTTTTAATTTTTTTTTTTTAATCGTAAAAAACTATATCTTGCCTCTTATGGCATTTTGACCTTTATCACGACACATACACATTTACTATGCAAATACTACTATGCAAATAAGTCGTTTTTATACCCGGGTATATTAATTTTGTTCACATAACGGTTGTTTGTAACAGCCAAAACGAATCGAGATAGATATAGACAAATGTATACATAAATGATCAGGATGAAAAAAGAAATCGATTAAGCCATGTCTGTCTGTCCGTCCGTCTGTCCGTCTGTCCGTCCGTCCGTGTACACGATAACTCGAGCAAAAATTGAGATATCTAAACGAAATTTGGTATGTAGGTTTCCCTTAATCCAAGGTAGGTTGGTATTGAAAAAGGGCGAAATCGGCCTTTAACCACGCCCACTTCCCATATAACGGTAATTTCCAGAAATACGAAAACTGCGATATTTTAGTAACTACTGAAGATAATTCACTCAAAATTGACATTTACAATAAGTTTTAGACGAAAAATAAGAATATTATAAATTTTTGGAAAATGGGCGTAGCCACGCCCACTTATGGTTACATGTGTATATCTTGGTAACTGCTGCACCAATTTCTTCCAAACTTGGCACAGGTGTTGGCCTTCACACACCATACCAATGGCCGAAAATTTTTAAAATCGCTTAATAACCACGCCTACTTCCCATATAACGGTAATTTTCAGAAATACGAGAGCTGCGATATTTTAGTAACTACTATAGATTATTCACTCAAAATTGATATTTACAATAAGTTTTAGACGAAAAATAAGAATATTATAAATTTTTGGAAAATGGGCGTAGCCACGCCCACTTATGGTTACATGTGTATATCTTGGTAACCGCTGCACCAATTTCTTCCAAACTTGGCACAGTTGTTGGCCTTGGTACAGCATAAAAAACCGCCGAAACTTTTTAAAATCGGACAATAACCACGCCCTCATCCCATATAACGGTAATTTAGAGAAATACAAAATCTTCCATAAATCAGTAAATATTGAAGCTAATTTATTCAAAATTGATGCTTGCAACAATTCTTTACCAAGAAATACGTTTATTTTAAAATTTTGGAAAATGGGCGTGGCACCGCCCACTTATGATCACATATAAGTATATCGGTAACCGTTCTACCAATTTGTACCAAACTCGGTGTGGTTATTGTGCTTGGCACATATAAGCAAAACGTTGAAAATTTTTGAAATCGGACTAGAATAACGGCCGCTTCTCATATAACGGTAAATTTCAGAAAAGCTTGAAACTTCAATATTTCGAAATTGAAGGACGCTAATTTACTCAAAATTGATACACCCCGGCTTACCATCTAGCGGAAGGTTTCGGAAAGGTGAAAAAACATATATTTAATACTTGCGCCGGGTATTTAATGTTCGGCTCCGCTCGAACTTAGACTTTCTTACTTGTTTTTGGCTTGATAATATTTTGACTGACTTTAGACGCTTGTATTTAAAAAAAAAAAATACCATGGCATATTTTAAATTCGCTGTGTTTAGTAAAAAAATCATAAACATACGCAACTGCTGTTTAAAAGTTGTACCTGAAAGTATGCAATGGGTAGGTTCAGAAGGCGCAGCAGTTGAGCGCAACCGTTGCTAAAAAAAATCAGTGATAGTAATGCGTCTTCTGAACGGCTTGATACATTATCTGTCAAATTCTTTCACACAACATGTTGTCTCAAATGATCAGAAAAATATTACGATCATGTAACACGCAACTGTTCAGTTGATCAGAAGTACAAAACAACGCGTTCAGAAGGTGCAATCGCAACAGTTACTGAGCTGTTGCGCCTTCTGAACGTGCCCAATATCTCAGCTCACTTCAGCAGGTACACCGCACTCGTGCACACATATAAGGGTAACGTAAAAGCAGCAGGAATTAAATTCATATGTTCGCGGCCTCAAGTCAATCTAGCGGCTATGTGTGCTAAGGGTTTGTTTCGCATATAGAAATACTGCCAACACGAATAAC